AATCATTAGATGATTTAAGAGTAAGATGATTCACAATATTTTTTTTTTCGAAAAAACACCTTCATGATTCATTTTTAAATAAATCAAGAACAGATTCATTTTTATGACAATTTTAGTGAATATCAACAAAATCATCGTAAATATGAATCATCGAGATGTTTTTTTTTTCTGGTATTGCTCCAATTATAGGTTCCATATATCCCTTGTGAACACTACTAATCACTTCANTTATCATAAGGCATTGGGCCTTGGGGAAAGAGAGATTTAGACTCCTTTGGATGTGGATAATATAGATTAGGAGATACGAGAGTTCAGTTTATGCTTTGGAGCCCAAGGGTATAACAGTAAAGTGATAGTTCGGGCCTTTTACAAATTTTGGATTTAAGTTCGGAAAGTTTTAAGGAAAACGACAGTTGATAGGATTGTAGAGCTTCTCATTACCTTTATGTGGATATAAGAATCTTCAAAATCAGACTTAGAACAAATAAGTTATGGCCTTTGGAAGTTTGGTGGTTTTTGGGCTAAGCCTAGTACGCTGGGCGTGTAGGGAGTATGTCTGACATTCTAGGATGGATGATCGCGGATGGCCTTTGGAGTACGTTGGGCATACCAGGAGTAAGCAATGCATATTCTAGTGAGGTGCAAACCCTAATTTAGGGTCTTGGACCCTATATTTGAATGCCTTAACTTATGTCAAAACCCTATTATCTTCAGCCTCCATCAACATTAACCCTAAAATCGAAACCCTAGCATTCATTTGAGAATTCTTGAGGCTTTTGAGTGATTTGGAGTGTTTTTGGTACACATTAAAGAGGACGGAGCACGTTGGACAAGGTTGGTTAGCTTGGAACTTGTGGATCCTGACTTTGTGCATCTTAATCTATCTTCTAGAGGTATAAAGCGTTGAACTTTATGGTTCTTATGTGTAGATCTATTTTTAGGTTTTGATAAGCATGTTCTGGTCCCGTGGCTTGAATTTGTGAGTACAAGTTACTCAAAAACCTTTAGACTTCATATCTTGCCATTTCAAAGCTTGTTAAGTGATAATAATTGGATCTTTGGGGTTGAAGTTCACCCATGCATGAGTTGTTGTCCATTTCATGAAAATAAAATGATAGATCTAGATTTTGGACCTCATGGAGCCATGCTATGGATTAAAGCTATCAACTTTGTGGATTAAGACCTTAGCTAGAAGTGGATCTGAGGTGTGGACATTAAGGTCTTAAGGGGTTAAGCTCCTTTGGTTATGTTTTGGCACCTTAATGTATACGTTGGGCGTACGTATGCGTACACTCAACGTAATGCATGAAATCCCCATCGGTAAGCTTCATCGGGTTGTACTTTGAGCTTCTACGGGCAGTACGCGGGCGCGTACCAACAAAATATGCAGGGCGTACTCCTACAAAGCTTATTTTGGGCCTTAGGTCTGTTAGGAGTTAGGCCATGAGGTGTTGGGACATATAAGGAAAGGGTAAAATGGTCTTTTACCTATTGGAAGGATAGGAGGTGGATTTGGACCTTGAATTTTGGAAATTTCTCTAATTGTTAATTTTAGATAATTTGGTTATTGTTCAGTGTGAGGATCCTGGTAGCAACACCGCTTGTGTTCGGGTATCTTGGATTGAGGCGAGTTCGTTCACTATAGTCTTGGGTCGAAGGTACCAATGCCGACCCACTAGATTATGTTTGAAGGATGATTGTTGTCTCCGTGACAATTTCCTGTTATATTTGGATGTGCTTGCTGTCTTTGTGACTCTTATTGTTATGATTATATGTTAGCTGTATGAGGTTAAATAAACCCAAAATCGGTTGAAGGAGACCGAAGCGGTTGCAATAAACCCATTACCGGTTGAAAGAGACCGACGGGGTTGAAACACACCCAGTACCGGTTAAAAGAGACCGAAGGGGGTGAAATAGACTCAATACCGGTTGAAGGAGACTATAGGGGTTGAAATAAACCGGTAGGGGTTGAAAGAGACCGAAGGCGGTGAAATAGACCCAACTATGTTTTGACTTTTATGTATGTATGATATGTGGTATATTGAGGAGCTCACTAAGCTTTGCGCTTATGGTTTTTATGGTTACGGTTTCAGGTATTTCCGGGTCGAAAGAGAAGAGCCCCGACTTGATCGCAGCGCATCCACCCATGTTTTTGCAACTTGATGATTTTGGAATTGTACTCTAATAACAATTTTATTATGACATACTTTTGAATGTTAGGAAAAAGATAATGGGTGTTTCTAGTTAAACTAAAAATGAAAATTTTACCTTATAATTTTTGGGTCGTTAC